TACTGTGTACTTGAAATGCCCTGAGTTTGGATCATATATAAGGAAAATTCATCAGTTTGCTCTACTCGCCTTTTAAACACTTGCTAGGGACTAACCTCCTCCTAGGACATTAATAATGGGATAATGGTGTGTTCTTTGTATTTGTTGTTGTTTTGTTTTTGTTTGTTTGTTTTTATTTTTCATTATCTTATTACTAGGGAACAATAAATTATAACTCCAGTTCTTCCCTCCTTTGTGATAAGGTCTTGTTCCATTGCCCAGGCCAGCCGAGTTTGAAATCCTCCTGTCTTAGCCTCCCAAATAGGGTTACAGGGATGTGCAACCCTAGCCAGCAACAGTATTTTCATGGAAGCTTATGACATATCTCAAAGGGATAGAACACAACTCAAATCCGTGGGTTAGAACTCTGGGGAAGAATGAAGGGAAGTGTGGGTATGGGAAGGCGCAGAGGTACCTACAGTTCTCTCCTTCTTAAGTATCCGAATCAAATGTATTAAAATGTGAGAGTTGGCTTAAGTTTTTTATTGTGAACTATGATGGTATTCCTATTACTCACTGGATTTTACTGCACTTCTGATATATTTTATAACAGCCACAACAAAAATTTGTTGATACAGTTTGGAAGCTGAATTTTGGAAAAATCAACTGACGAGCCAGTCTTGCCTCTTCTGGAATCCTTCCAACCAGATCATCAAACTGCTAATAGTTCTATACATGATCTAAAATCTCTTATGGCAAAAGGAGATAAAATGTAAGGGTTGGGTTTTCTTCCTCTTTAATGACAGAGTTTGCCAAAAGCGAAGGAGCTTGGCTCAGCCAGGGTGGTTTCTGCAGAGCCACGGGCAGCTGAGCTGCCCTGCCTGGGTGCAGAGCTTCAGGACTCCAGGGCATGGCAGGGCCTGGGAATGGGGAAAGGTTATTTCAGGTCAGTGACAGGAGCTGCCGAAACTGGTTCCAGCAGGAAGTCAGTCCCCAGCAAGTGCCAGGAGTGTGCAGACTAGAGGAGAGGTGTCCACAGCAAAGCAGCTTTGGCTTCAGGTCATGCGGACCCCATAGCTGACCGAGACCCAGGCTGCACAGCTGGCTTTCCCTTCTGGCTTCTCAAGGCCCATTCTAGAATCCAAAGCAGAGAAGCTGCTGGGAAGCACTTTGCCAGGGCTGATCCTGCTCAGCCATCTGACCTGACAGGCAGATGCAGAACCCCTCAGGCACAGGACAGAGTGCCCAGGTTATGCCCATGACAGGACATCATTTAGGGCCTCAGGGATATTTTCCTTGCTACTGTGACCACTTTCCAGGTCTGATGAGGTGTTGCTCAAAAGGTAAACAGTGGGGAGTTGGGCTTGTCATTTGTTTTTCTAAGGAAGGGCTAACCTAGATCGGGTTTCTTCACCACTGCCTCTTCTCCACGGGTCATTTTCCAGCATACTGTTCTCCAACCTGCTGTTGTCACACAAAAAGTCATACATTTGAAGCATCTTTAAACTTCTCATGTCTCTAGGAGATTTTCTACCAGGACTCCATCGCCCACCTGGTCTCTCAAAATTTCCTCATCCAGCTTACTGTGCTGTGTGTCATTCTCCTCCACAGGCTTCCCTTCAAAACTGAGCATTTCTGGCATAAATACACATACTCTCAGGCCAAGTGCCACCTATTTCCTACTTGTCCCCTAGCTAGTGACCAGGACTACTCAGAAGTGCTTTTCCATCACTCACTCCTTTTTCCACTAATGCTTTATGCCAGGCCTCATTGAGGGCTTAATAACCCTCAGTTCCCAACACCTCCCCATGGCTCTCCAGCCTCCCTGCCTTTCACCTTGTGGGCACACAGGCTGGGAATGTGCTAAGTGCAGGTGTCCAGGTCTTGCTGCAGACCTACTGACAACATAGGCACTCTGGAGAAGGGGCCAGGGACTTCCAATGTAAGTTCCAGTCCCGGATCATGCTTTGAGTTCATCATGCTTGTTCACCACTAGGATGACACAGGTGAACACTTCCTGGTTGTAAGACTTTCAACAAATTATGAGATCACTCTATGCCTCAGTTTTCTCATCAGTCAAATGGGAGTTAAATTGAGAATTAAATGCATACGGTCTCCCACTTAGCACAGTTTAACTTAGTTTTTAACTTTACCATGATGCAAAAGCAATGAACTTTCAGGAGACACAGTACTCTGAATTTTGACCTTTTCCCAGACTCACACTTTAAGATCTTCTCCCATTCAGCCAAACAATTCACCAGAGGAACAACTGACACTCTACACTGGACTGTGTTGCCAAACTCTGATGTTCAAGGGCCTGTAGATTAAATGCAGTTTTGACTTAGAGTGTTTTCAATTTATGATGGCATTTCCAGGACCTAACCCACTGTAAGTTGAAAAGTAGTAATTGCTGTGAAGTAATCCACATGTAGCGCTTCTTGAGAAGTGTCTAGATCTGTGTATGCACTGCTTAAGGTTAAGATATTTCTACTCAACGCATCAGCCAGGGATGGATTTTCAGACCAAAGTACCACTTTCATCAAATCACATTCCTTACTCAAAGAGTTCAAGGTTTACTTCAAAAGAGTAGAATAGCAGGTGGGATGTAGTTCAGAGGCACAGCACCTGCCTGGCAAGTACGAGGTCCTGAGTTCGATTTCCAGTACCAAAAAAAAAAAAAAAAAAAGAGTAAAAAATGAGAGGCAGAGGAAACATAACTTTAAAGGAAAGAATTCAGGCTCAGAGCCCCTGGCAAGGTGATGGAGGACAATATCAACAGTACTGCCACCCAAGCCTTCAGTACAGAGCCTCTTGGGGACACCATGATCCAAACTATAGCACCAGCCAATCTTCCAACCACATAAAGATAAATTGCTGTATTTTTCTGTATCCATGTAACATTTACTTATTTCTCTAACCCTCTAGATCACTTTCCCCATATAAGAGAGGCTGTACAAATGTTTCAGGTTTTAATTTTTTATGTGTGACAAAAGATAACATTTGTATGAACATTTTAAAGATGCATGTGTATTTGTACAAGGCTTTTTTTGAGACAATGTTGGAAAGTGGAGGCCATAGGATTTTAGGAGTTCTGGTCCATGGTGTGCAGCATAGTTGAGAGTTTTGCAGAAGTAGGGGCAGGGAACAGTGCTATTGGTGCCTCTTCTCTACCCAGCAAGGTTCATGTGACCAGAACCACCACATTCTCCTTCACCTGAAGGGTCAGGAACATTCTGCAGCACTGACCCCATCATTCCTTCCCTAAAGCCAGAACCCAGAACTGCCCAGCACTGTCCAGCCGGGCTTCTCACAATCTTGGGAAGGGTTCTACTTCTGTGCTGTCCCCCGTGCTAGTCGCATAGGCCTAATGAGTACTTGAAAGGAGTCTGGTGCAAATGCAAAGTTTGAATTTTTCTTTAAAATTCCTTTAAGTTTATTCATTTAAAATTAAATTTAAAAAGCCACCTGAAGCTAGTGGCTACCCCATTGGACAACGCAGCTCTAATGCAAGTGTGGCCTCCTCTTTACAGGAGAAAAGGAAAGGTCAGTGAATAGACTGGCAGTCAGCACCCAGAAAGCCCAGTGCACTACACCACTATCTGTCTTTTGGGAACTGGGATCTTTCAGGATTTTATTCCAGTACTCCCGGTACCGTGCTCCACTGCCCTGTCCCCGCCTCTGCTCCAGCCCTCTATCTTCCTGCCTGTCCTGGCTTTGGCTTGACGCTAGGGCTGGCATCAGTCGAAGTCGGATGGTTGACAACCAGTGTTGGAAGGACAATTTTTATTGGAAGAAAAGGAAGCTGAATCTCCAAACTGAGGACTAATCTAGCCAATGAGATCTCCTCTTAATTACAGATGCCGCCTGTCTGCTGGGATGCAGGAAGGCTTCGTGGCATGAGAAGGAGCAGCCACACACACATCCCGCTCCTTACTTCTAACCAGAGTCAGGCTTCACTCAGCACTGGAAAGAAGGAAAAAGCAATACAGACAGATGTGCCTGCACGATCTGGTTGAAAAGCTGTGTATCATTCCACGGTGACCGTCATCCTGCACTCCCGGCTCGCTGCCACTTAACAGATGTTGTCACTGCTCAGCCCCTGGGTGTACAAAAGAGAAGTGGCTAGACGCTTCCTTTCCCACCTATCTGAGGTCCACACACAACTTCTAGGCTCTATTTCCTGAGAGGAGGCTTTGGTCTTCCCTAAACAACAACGCTGGTCTCAGAGGAGACCAGCCCCCCACCATGCTGCTGTGGCCTTATCTCACAGGACAGGGCACCAGAGCACAAGAGTCTCCTTGTGCTCCTAGGAAAATTGAGTGACACGTGGAGCAGAGGGTCGTGGGCATGAACAGGGACAGTTCCTCACATTACCTCAGTCTTCTGCCTTTTCCAGCTAGACCATGACACCCCCAGTCTGGCTCTTCCATCTCCTGAGCTGGGGACAGTGCGAACTTGACAGAGTTTTCTTCCTACACATCAGGGGAATTTAAGTTCTCTGATGGCTGGAAGAATAACAGAAGCAGGAAAAGGGATGAGACAGGGAGGGGAATGTTCTACTGAGCACATTCTCCAAAGATGAGCAGACACTGTCAGCAGTCCCAGTGATAACATTCTGCATGTTACTATGGCAAAAAGACCTTAAAGGAAGTGACTCAAGGATGCGTCTGGAGCTTAGATGGTCAGGAGACCCATGGAGAAGGCAGTCACAAAGCACACCTTTGCACCTGTTTCCCGCCAATCGGCAGGGCGTCCCTGCCCACAGCACACCAACGTTAGGCTGTGGCTGTACCTCTCCTGTTATATAGAAAAGAAGATATTAGCAATAAGGTGAGAAAGGATATGGTCTAGAAAAGCTTGTGATTTGTTAAAGGGGATTCTAAATTAGAGTCACTAGAGTATTTTGTGTGAGTCTGTCATCTGTCATTTCTCTCTAGTGGCCCAAAATTTGCCATCAGCTCTTTGAAGGTAAATGGAACTAGCCACCATGTAATTTTTTAAAATCTTTCAAGTACATCTACTTTCTTGAATCTCATTGCCAAGATTTCTAGTATTCAAATTTTATTTCTTTTTTTAACCAATAAGAAGCTATAACATCTTCAGGTTAGCCACAAAATGCATAATGAGAGGTCATCAGAGAATGGACAGTGCTGACAGAGTTTATCTTCCACTTACAGGAGACCCATCATGAAATTTCTTGGAAGCAGTGCCATCTTCCTCAATGACTCTGGGGGTTTGGAAGGTCCTTTGCAGTGCCTCGGTGACACCTCTCCAGCCATCTGGTCTTCAGAAGATACCAGCAATCATGCTGACCCTGCACTGACGGTCTCTAGACTCTTCACAGGTGTCTCTGTTCCTTGAGGGTGAAGCATATATTATGCACAATATTTGGTTCCCTAAGTTGAAAAGTTTGAATCTCAAACAGGAAATTTAGAAATTAAGAACATAACCCATCAACCATGTGCAGCAGATGGTAAATCCTGTACTTAGGATCATTTGCTGCAATTTATTACACCCTGCAAAGAGGTGTAAAGATCTGGTGGGCAGTTCTGACTTTAAATAACTCACACTGCTTTCCAAAGGCCCAAGTGATTTGACTGCTTTAACCCATCACAAGAGCTTCAAGTACTTCCCAGCCTCCAGTCATTCCTGAATGCCTTGTGGAGCCTGACTGAGCTCCGCCTCTGCACTTCTACAACAATCTGGACCCCCACCTGGATTGTCCCCATGCATGTCGGGCTCACATGGCTCAGCACAGGTCTCCTGACTCCTATAGAGCACTTCCGCCATTGCCCAAGCTGGGAAACTTGGAGTCATCTCTCGTCCTTGCTCCATTTCATCCCCAGTGACCTAGGCTCCACTGGGTCAGAAACCACTCGTGTGATGCCCAGGTCTGAGGCTTCCACCTCTCACCTGCTCACTGTAACAAACCACAACCAGGCTCCCTGCCTGTTATCCATGCTTCCACTGTCCATTCTGCTCAAGGTTCACCTTTTTGAAGCCATACTGTATAAAAGCTTTCAAAGTATCTCCAAATTTTGATTCTCTAGCTGACCAAACAAAGCCCTTCAGTGTCTGACTTCAGGCTGACTTTGCATCCTTCTTCCACCAGACGGCGTGCTCCTGGATCTCCAGCCTCATGGAGCAGCTCTGCTGACCCTGACCTCATGCCTTTGTACACACAGCTGCCTCTGCCTAGCATGTCTGTCAGGTAAACTCACTCATCCTATGAAGTTTCCCCAGCTACCCAGAAGCCACGTAACTTTTCTGTTTTGACACAAGCATGTATATACTTCCCACGAGACTCTGAGCCCCTAGAAAGCAGGAAGACACAGTTCCTAGCAGAGAATATAAAACACACATACATATAACCTGGGTTGATAAGATCTATTTTCATCCAGCAAATTTGGGATGTTCCAATGAACAAATACAAGCAATTGGCCCATTCAACTGTGTAAACAGTCACTTAAAATAAATTCCACCTATTGGGTATTTAGCAAGGTTCATATTTCATGCCAGACATTTCATCTATTCACCTCATGTGAAACCAGATTTATAGCATATTACCTAACGAGGTGAACATCACACACTCAAAGCCCAAACTCTTAGCTACTGAAATGCCGGAGCAATGGTTTCGAAAGGTACCATTCTGTATCTAAAGGCAGTGGGTATGAACCCTGTTCAGGATGAGTTCCTTAGGGAACTTGCTGTGGTTTATGGATGGCTGGGGGGAAGGATGTTAAAGAAAACTTAAAGAGTTTTTTTAAACTGAAATGGCATTGCGACTGGGTGAATGCAGGTATTTCCCAACCTGGACTTGATTGCTGAGAGCACTCTAAGGGCTGCAAAGTCTGCCATAAAGCAGAGACACCAGGGCCCCAGTGACCCAGCTGACTGACAGTCACTAAGTGTAGTTGACAGGGGAGGGGAGTCCCCTTGCTCCTCTGCATCAGCAGCGAAGGGCATTTCTCCACTGAGCTGACCCAGCAGCGACCCCAAGGGTAGGTCCAGGAGAGCTCCGAGACCAGGACGCGCCGGCTCACCGGCTCCTTCCAGAGCCCCATCCTGCAGTTTAACCGTGCTCCAAGTCTACTCAGAGCCCTGCTCGTTTCCCAGGGTGGAAATTGGATTCTGACAATGTCCCTTTCACATTTGATCTCTACATTCCAGTTACAGCTTGCTAGAGACTCTTCCTCTGTGTTAGATGGCTGCACTGCGAGGAGCCATGGCTCCTCTAGGAAGGTTAGCCTCCCTCCATGAGACCTTCCTCATTAGAGGGAGGTCTCTTGTTCATTGCTGAATCTCTCCCTCATCTTCTCTTCCAAAAGTTATGCAAGGATGCTGCATTCTGGCTGCAATTTATCAACCAAGGAAACTCTTGGTAAGAAAGACAGCAGTGATAAGTTAAGATTCTTTTGCATCTTTCATTTCTCTTCTTTCATTTCTTCAGGGTTTAGAACAGTACCTTTCTACATAGTTTTAACCCAGCATTTCCAGGAAAAATGATTTTGGTTGTCCGTTGGGTCTAGGAAGGTGTTTACAAATTAAAACAAAATCCTTATTTTCAAGTTCTCTGTCATCATCTCCTAATAGGATTTTCACTATGTCATTATTTGATGGGGCATGGTTAGTATTTGGAAAAATAGAGACAAAAAGAGGTGAGAGAAAGAACCTCGGCTGGCATTCAGAGAACTGGATTCTCTTTTCTGCTCCAACCCATTGAGCATACTCTGTGGCTTTGGGGAAGCCAATGAACTCTCAGGGCGTCAGTTTCCTTATCAAATGATGATACTGTGTTAAAATACAGGATTTAAAACTGTATGAATATGTAATACAGAATCATAAAACTTACTCTATAGACTTTGTAGGAGGTGGTTCAAGCGAAAAGCACTGAGGTAGAAAAAAAACAGACTCTGTCCTTGGAAAGCTCTCTGGTACCTGAGCACTAGTCATGTGGGACACAGGGGACTGAGCCAAAGGATACACTGTTCCCATTTTGCAAACCCAGTTATGAATTATTCATGTTGTACCCCACGGCAAAAAGAATGAAACAGTGTGTGTATGACCTCTGGGGGTGGATACATGCAGTAGGAGAGAGTAAACACAAGATTTTCACAATGCAAGGGACTTTACGGATCATCTAATCCACGCTCGCCCGCATTGCACATCAAGGAAGCAACACTCAGATCGGTTGAATTGTTAGCTCAAGAACACAAAGAAGTCATTTTAACAAGCAAGAATCTCAAGGTACTTATAACTCGATTCATCCAATGGTAGAGTCTGGTTTCCATGTTCAGGTTTACTGAAGTTATATAAGGCAGCATAAAAACCTTACGAAAGTTCAGTATCCTGCTCTGTGCATGCATGAGTCATGGACAGATCTCCAGATGTCTTCAAGAAAACAGAAGAAAGAATTAGGGAAAAACAATTCCCAAGATGCTGCTTGTCCCCTGAATACAGAGTATAATCAAGAACAAAAGCTCCTGTCCTCCAGAATATTAGGCCAAACCACAAAACATTTCATTTAAAATTTTCTAATATTTTTAGCCAACTCAAAGAATGCATATACCACCGAACTTTTCTAACATTTTCCATACTGAGCAGAGGTCTTCACCAACCTGATCTTTTTCACTTTCTTCCTGGAACATGGTGGTTACCTTCCTGCCTAGCACCTATGACCAGACTGCAGCTCTGCTCAGAAAGCTCTATCACTAGAATCTACCTGAATCACTCCCCCATCATCTGCAAGTCTCTGCTCAGTAACATCTTTTCAGGAATCCCACAACCACCACCATATCTAGGTTACAATCCCACTCCTGGATCCATTTATTTGGCTCTGTTCTGCCCCTTAGCACTCATGAGTTTCTAATACTTTTCTCTCTCACTTCTCCCACTTTCCCTCTGTCTCTCTCTCTTTCCCTGTGTCCCTCTCTCTCTCTTTCTCTCCCCCTTCTTTGCTGTCCCTGCCTTTCTCTCCCCTTATCAGAATATAAGCTGCATAATGGTTTAGTCTATCTTGTTCCCTATAATGTCTCAAGGCCCTAGAATAGTATCTAGTGTATAATGTGCTTTTACACTATAATCTCTTTCCCAGACCTGTGCAAGTTCTACCCCCAAAGGAAGTGGATTATTCACAGCTGGAAGAGAATGATCTCCAGTTTACAAATATAAGGAAACCAGAATAAATGACCTGACCAGTGTCACAAATCAGAGCTTAAACTTGAATCCCAGTCGTAACACTTCCTACAGTCTCCCAGGTTCTCCAGGCTGGTGCCCACTCCTTTAAACCTGGATGGAGAAGGACTTCCTCTGCTTGCAGAGACCAGACCTTTGGGCAGCTCCTCCGGGCAGGATGAATCCTGATCTGCCACAAGTTAGGCATGAGACTTGGCTCAGTTCCTTAACTCCTCTCAGCCTTGTGATTCTCACTATTCAAAGGGAATAACAATATTTACCTTAGAGGATATTCATAGGGCTCAATCTGGATGCAGGAGTTCAGTGTCTGGGAGCTCTTTCCCTTTCTTTGACCATTTGTTCAACAATAATATTACTTTTCTCAAGATCTCCTCTATCATCTCTACCCCTGAACCTGCACTCCTGAAGACATTGAAAAAACACATAAAAGATTAACTGGAATTTTTTAAAGGCAGATGGCAGGGAGAAAGAGGCTCACAGTGTGAGGGCATCTCACTGTGTCAGGGCTAATTCATATATTCTCATTCTTATCCCTACTAAAATTGCTGATTAAGGTGGATGAACCCGCCAGAAGCCCAGGTAAGATAACACAGGACACTTTCCATTCTCAATTTCAAAAGTCATCTTAAAGATCATGGGGCTGGAATCTGTTTTCCAAGAGATCATTAGAATGAGTTTTTGTGGGTTACTCATCAGTAACTTCAACAAATATTTTAAGTAGGAGTGGCCCATGATTTTAAAACAGTTCACAAAATTTAGATTAAGGAGTTACCCAACTGCATTTATGCAGGACTTTCCAGGGCTTTTGCTATGCTGACTGTGGTGTGGCTCCCCAAGGTGGATAGAGGTATGCACCTAACAAGGTATTTTCCCAGATTGTATCCCTTTCTTTCCAAGAATCAGCTATTGCAGCTAATACTCCATATTGTCCCACTTTTAGAAGCAACTCTGACATATTACAGCCACAAAACTGACCATGGAGAGATTTGGAGGCTTAGGCAAGGCCAGCTACCTGGTTGGTAGCAGAAGCAGGGCTGGGATCCATATTTTGGTGTCAATAATTGACCCAATGTTGAAGTCAATAAAGGCCTTCAAACCAGACCATATCTATTGAAAAATCTTACTATAAACTAGAAATAAACTAGAGGAAGTAAAGCAACATGAAATATAATGAATGAGATGCTTGCTGGGAGTCAAAAATAAAAGTATAAGTGTGTGTGTATGCGTGCATGTGTGTGTGTACGCGCGCACATGTGTGTATACCTGTGTGTTCCAGGAGCAGTAACAATAGCAATGAAAGATGCATTTCCACCCAAAGCAGTTGATTGGTCCTTACAAGTCTCAGATAAATCAGTGTCTCACCCAAGGCCTCCTCTGGCTTTTGGTGTATGTAGGATAGTAACTGATGACTGAATCCTTCATTAGTGATAAGCAATACACACTGACCCCAAAGATATGCATGCTTTAATCATCAGAATGTGAAGATACTACTTTATATGGTAAAGATAACTTTCCTACTGTGGTTAAGGCTGTTACAGTGGAGTGACTGTCCTGACTTACCCAGGTGGGTGCAGTATAGTCACGGTTCATCCCAAGAGGAAGACAAGGGGGTCTGACTACAGACGAGGGGAATGCACTATGGTGAGGAATGCATACTGGACGGATGAGCTTGGAGGAGAAGGAAGGGACCACACACAGGTCAAGGATACAAGTGGCTGCCAGAAGCTGAAAAAGGCAAAGAAACGTATTCCCTCCTGGAGCTATTAGAAGGAAAATGTCCAGCAGACCCGTTGGCATTAGCCCTCAGTGAAATGGATTTAGGACTTTTGAGTAAATCTGTGTCACTTGAAGCCACTAAGTTTGTGATAGCTTGTTACAAAAGTGATAGAAAATTCAGGTATGCAATGTAATGAGATCATCCCAGTTCATTCTGAGGAGGCTGGGCCACATGGGTAGGGTGAGTGCACCGGGTGGTGTGACAAACTCATGTGTTCAGCTCGGTCACCCCACACTGCTGGGAACCACCCAGAGGTCTCCTCCGAGCGTTGTCCTTTGGCACCATTGCATATGGAAGGAGTTGGGTTGTGTCAGGCTTCCTATAATAAGATAAAAGCATCTGCCCCTCCTGCAGAATCGTCAATTTGTTCCTGTTATGAGAAGCAGGCAGTGACTGATTGGTGACACACCTTACTTGAGTGGCTTTCAATGATTGTTTTCTTTGGCAAGATCACAACTTAGCCACTGGGTGAAATTCAAGTCAAGCAAGTTAGGACTACCTGGGAACTAGATACACTTGCTTATAAAATGTTTCAACATTTCTAAGGGAGTATTTTTCCCCCACCTTGAACCACTTTATACAGCATGATTGACCTGCCTGATGCTTGGCCAACTTACCTTACCCAGATCTTTGTCTTGTTGAGGGTACCACTGATAGTCACTTGGATGGCACACACTCGTCTCTAGCATCTGCGTTAGAAAGTCACAGAACATAGCAGTGTAAAACAATGGGTATCACTAATCTAAGATTTTGCTCAATTATTCTCATTAAATGTTATCCAAGATCCTATCTTCAACAAAGAAGCAGCTAAGCCAGAACTAACTTCAGACCCTAACCTTTAAGAAATTCATTCTGATGCAAGACAACTGACAGTTTCAGGAAGAATAACTATCTGGTCTTCAGATTTAAGAACGAGATAGTGTGAGCTAGAATATGAAGTAGCAGGGCAGGCTAGATGGGGGCGGGTAATAATGATATTATTAAGGATAACATGGGAATTCTCTCTTCCAACAACGTATTTTCAACTTCTATTGCCTTTGGGTTTCCTCCTGATTGACAGATTTGTTGATAATCCATCGAATGAACATTTCACCATTTTATTCAAAAGATGATTCCCAGAATCTAAAATGTGAAACACACAAGAAACTGACATTCAGTGAGCAGGCTGCCAAGCAGCAGATATGAAGCAATCACTTAAATTATGACTAAATTACCACATTATAACTAACACTCAAATAATGTCCAAGGTTGCTGAAATTGTCAAAAGCAGCATAATTTGCTGTAAACTTCATAAACTGATATATTTATTAAGTGTAAATTTTCATATAAAGTCCTGACTTGAAGATCTGCAATAATGATAGTTAACTGAGGGGCTGGAGGTTTAGCTCAGCAGCATAAGCGCCTGCCTTGGAAGCAGGCAGTCTTGAGTTCGATCCCTGGTACCGATAAAAAGGAAAAAGACAAAAAAAAAAAAAAAAAAAAAGGATAGTTAACTGAATCCTAAATATATTCATTCATAAGAGAACTATATTACACTAAGCTTTTAAGAAACTGAATGTAATGTAAGTACCGGTTAATAAAAGAAATGGCTGTTAACTAAATCTTAGCAAGAAAGATTTAGTTTTTATCAGAAAACTCAATTGTTATTACAGCTATCCTATTCAACATGAAAAAATTTGGTACATCATAAAACTGGCTAAACTCAATGAGCTTATCCTTAGTCAAATGTCATTTCTGTGAATCAAATTTTAGTAGATGTCAGCCTTCAACCAAAAATCTATCAACCAGCTGCTTCGTTCCTGCACAAATAAGAGCTCCCAGGTTGGGGCACTGTTGGTAAAAGGCTAATGTTTTTGTATGAATTGACCAAAATTGATAATTACTTTGTCTCACCTCAGCCCTGAGCTCTCACACCTTAATTAATAATTCTTTTTTAGGGGGACGCTAAACTACTGAAATGCTAACAAGGACATGGGGCGGGGGGCGGTCCGCAAGGCCAAAATGACCTCGTATTTCACTCTTACTTGAAAAAGCATACTGCCTTGAGCATCAGTTCCTGGCCTATGTTCATTTTCAGGACGGCCCGCCAGGTTGCCATAGGAACAGAGAGAGACAGTGAGACACGGTCTCAAGGTCTGGAGGAGGGAAGTCTACAACTGTGGTTCTCAGGGCCTTGCTCCAATTTGTCCCTGCTTCTCTTTCTGCGTAGGAATTCCTGGGGGGCCTCGGGGCGCCTCGACTTGCAGTTGCACCACTTCAGTCCCATCCCCGGTGTCACTCGGAGCCCTCTCGGTCTTCACATTGCTTTTGGGTGAGGGCATCAGTCATGTGAATTAAAGGCCTACCCAGCTCCAATATGACCTCATCAAAAGCCCCACTTCCACCCCTGCTTCCAAGGAGACAGAGGGCTTGGGAAAAGGATCTCACTTATCTTCAATCTCGAGGACACAGTTCAATCCATGATAGGACTTTTGCCTATAGTTTCTAGACACGTAAGGTTGGTGACAGTTGTTTGGCTCAACTCTCTGCAGGCAATTCTTTTTTTTTTTTGTGCACTTTGTCATTTCCCCTTTTCTTTTTTTATTGATTGTTTATTGGTACATTCCAGGTTTACGTAATGATCACAGCCATCAGAGAGAATGTGTACTTCTATGTGATTTATTTTGATTCTTTTTTCCCCAATTCCTTTCCCTCTCTTCAACTTCTTTATTTACAAAAGCTTTGTCTCCAGTTTTCCTTCTATTCTTGTTTTTTTCTTTTCCCTTCCTTCCTTTCTCCCTTCCCCTATTTCCCCTTCTCATTTGAATATTTTTGTCTTATTTCATATCTATTATATATACTGGTTGTTATTTACACTTTGGATTTCTCACACCAGAGAAACAATGAGATATTTACACCTTTATTTGACTTACTTAAGAGCACGGGCTCAAATTGCATCCATTTACTTAGAAATGTCTCAAGTTTCTTCTTTTGGCTAATACTCCATCATATAAAACAAACCATATCTCCTTTATCCAGTCATCAGTTGATGGGCATCTGGGCTGTTTCTAAGATTTAGCTATTACAAACTGTGATGCTATAAACACGGGTGTGCATATATTGTTACAGTTTTAATCTCCTTTTCTAATTTATTTGAATATTATTTTTCAATATCAGGTAATACATAGCCACATATCTGACTCATAAAAGTAGTTTGGGTTGCATTCTGCTTTGAAAATTCTCTTGCTGAAAAACTCTGGCTAAAATGTTGCTTTTCCTCCTTCTAATCTTCTTCTAATAGTTCTCTAGTCCATATTTTCTAGAAAAAAATTCTATGTAATGCTATTCTTTTCTTTTTCTATGAAATTGTCATAGAGGCTCCTTAAATGTAACATAAGTATAAAATTCTTTAATGCTTACTAAGCAAATGAATTCATAAATAAGAGAATCTTTTGCTTTTATTTTTGTTTTTGTGTTTCGTTTTCTTAGTATCCCAATTTGGGGAAGAGAATATTTTACATTAACTGACAGATACAAAAAGCAGGAGGAGTTTGGCAGGAGCCCGATCTCTGCAGAGCAGGCCAGCACGAGAGGATGAATGCGGGAAGGGCCCACCTGTCTTCTGGAAGCTGTTGCTAACAGGAAGGACACAATTTCATAATAACTTAGTTCTTAGAGGAAATGTGTGTCTCCATTTTCTTTCTGGTAATTTAATGTCAGAAGAAGAAACCTGAAACCTGAACTAAAGCAAGAGATGAAAATAGCCCAGAAGTTGGCCCTGGCAGGCCGAAGACCAGTTAATTAGGCTCCAGTTTATCTACTCAAAACATGGAGGAAAGACATTTCTGTGATTAAGAAAGGAGAAAGAGGAAAGAGACACAGATTAGGTGATGTGGAGCAGTCCCTTGGGAACCGTGAAAGTCCCTGAAAAATAAATATCAGTTATTTATTGTGCTTTCAATAAAAAATAAAGCCCCATGGGAAAAGAGGGAATAGCTACCAAAAAGTTTGGGGCATCAAGACAATCCTAGGATGTATCTACTGAGCATGAGCTAGCTACCAGGCTCTGCACTAGAGCTGTGGGACAGATATGTGAAAAGCTGCTCACTGTTAGAGAGGAAACCAAGCAGTGATGCCACAGGATAAATACCATGGAGATGTGTATGGAGTTAGGATAAAGAGAGAGGTTGACGTATGCCACTCTTTGCCCCTTGGAAGGCCCATCCACGCTGAGTTGCTACAGAAGAGAAAGCACTACAAAGAGGGCAAATTCAGCAAGCTTGTCCTCGGCAGAGAGTGTCTGGTGCTGGAGCACAAACTGTTGGACTGAGAGCAGCCCAGTGGAGACCTCAACGAACCACCTCAGCCACCGGAGCCTGCAAGAAACCACTGACAAATTTGGAGAAAGCAGTGTTATCTGATTTGTAGGACAGAGAGATCTGTTTGGATCCTATTGGGAAGTGGCATAGACGGAGAAATGGAGGCAGGAGGCTTGAAATAAGCTGACCACCTCACTGAGTCTGAACCAAGGCATAGGGATGAGGAAAGGAAAGAGGGATTAGAGAGCAGGAAGGAATACAGTGTACTTAAGTAAAAGAATCAACAGTACTTGCAAAGTGAGGAAAGGCAGCCCTCAATAATGCTTGTGTCATCTTTGGGCAGATATGTACAGCACTGCAACTCACTGAGATGTGAAACAGTCAGTGGAAATCTGGAGCAGGCCGCACACGAGGAGGAAGATGTTGGACCAGGTCATGGTGTGCTCAGCCTGAGTGATCTCCCCGAGGCACAACCAGGTGGAGATACACAGCTGGAGGCCAGGAGAAAGGCTGAGTGTGACAGAGAGAAGGAGAGAGGGAGAGACAGACAGACAGCTCCCAGGCGACAGTTGAAAAGCTAGTTGTAAACAAAATCAGTTGAATGGAAAAGAAAAAAGATCTTAGATCACAGAGGATGGATTTGCTAAATCTAAAGGATAAGCAGAGGCAAAAAGAAAGATCCACAAGAGACCGAGAAGAGCCCAAAGAGCTTAAGAAAGAGATGCCATGGATGCCAAAGAGTAGGAAGTTTCAGGGAGGCTCAGCTGTGCCAAATGCCAAAAGATGGCAAATGTCCACTGAATTTTGTTGCAAAGATGTGTGGGACTAGGTTACCGGTAAATGAAAATAGCCGCTGGGTTTCAGTAGGACTTCTAAGTGCCAAAGGTAAGTGGACCCAGAGAACAGGGGCAGACAATGGAAAGTCATATGCTAGATACTTAGCTAAGAGTTGGAGACAGAAATTGAGTTGAACTGGGTATTTAATGCACACCTGCAATCCCAGGACTCTAGGGAGTCGAGGCAGGAGAATCACAAATTGAAGCCCAACTTGGGCAAGTTAGTAACTTAGTGAGATACTATCACTTTTAAGGATTATCACTATTAAATAAGATAATGTATGTAAACCACCCCACACCACTTCCGGAACATATTATAGACCAAACAAGCATCAGTTTAACTACAGAACCATATCTAAGGAAGGACATATTTCACCCACCCACCCACAAGGAATCAGACTTTCTGTTTAAAGGCTCCGGGGGAGTGGCTCTCGTCTGTAATCTCAACATTCTGTGAAACTGAAGCAGTAGGATTGCAAGTTCTGGGTATTGCAACAGCTGGGGAAGTTAGCATCACCCTGTCTAAAAAAATTACTTTAAATATTAAGGGCCAAGGATGTAGCTCAGTGATGTAGCACCCCGAGGTTCAATCTCCAGTACTCTGAAAAGAAAAAAAGAAAGAGAAAAGAAGGAAGAAAAGAGAAGAGAATGACGAAAGAGAAACAAATCACAATCATGGACTGGGGTGAGCAGAATGAAACCTCTCTGTGCTTACAGGCTGAGTGGCTCTGATATTCACACAATGATCTTGGGAAGGTACGGAAGGCATCAGGCTGTCTCCACACAGAGAGCCGTGTTCCAGCAGCTGTGACTCTCTGTTGAGAAATAACTGGAAATGGGACAAGTTCACTCACTCAGGTCATCACTGAACATGTTTGAAGTAGTCGCGTATGTCAGGCATTCTTCTGCCGTTGCTGTGTGTCACTGTGGTGGCACAGAGGAAGAAAAGATTACTCAGAGATAAAATTTGTTCCAAACACCAAGCGGCTCACAGGAACTGTCCTGAGAGGACCGAGCCTGAAAGAGGATCAAGAAACAGTCATGAGGCTGGGGATTTAGCTCAGCGGCATAAGCGCCTGCCTTGGAAGCAGGTAGTTTCAAGTTCAGTCCCTGGTACTGATAGATAAAAAAGAAAAAAGAAACAGCGCCCAACACACCCCGCCCGGGACGATAAGACCACGCCAGCTTCCGCAATGCGCTACGTCCCTCTCTAAATTAGCCAACCCGTGTGCACCTCGTGCTCACTCCGTATTCGCCCCGTGCTGACTCTGTGGCAACCCCTGATTGGCTACAGCTGGATATATTAGCCAGAGCCTGCGTCCCATTCCCGCCCTGCTTCCTCGTAGCAGCCTGTGATTGGCCACGGCCGAATATATAAACCAGAGCCCGCGTAAATAAAGCGGCAGTTCCTGTTACCACCTGAAGCATCTCCTGTCTCATTGGGGGGCTGCGCTGGTCATTTTTCAGCTTTTATTTAGAACACCAAAATGACAAAGAGACAGAGATTTCTTCAGTTTTTATTTAGAATACCAGAATGAGAGAGACGGGGAGGGGGGCCCTTGGACAAGAAACTGTATCAAGGCTAAGCAGTTTATCGGGGGCGAAGGAAGGCCAAACACTACATGCGTCCCTAACCTAAGCTTCTTGTTGTGTTCCAGCTGTGCGGCACTCAGCTGCTTTTGTAAGCATATGTGCTTTTGCCCTGCAGTCCCTCTCGCAGCTTGACGAGGTCCCCCACAGTCTGTGCCCCTGAGGGCACAGCCCCACATCCTCGACACCTCCCTACGCTGCTCTTTCCTCTGAGCAGCCACTATGATCGCCCTTTAACTGCTTCCACAGAGTTTAGCAAGAGCCGTCTAACTCTTTTGCTGCCACAGTGGTGAGCTCCTCCAAGCCATCCTATAGCCAAATTACAGATTACTAAATAATTACCCAAGCAAACATTAAGTAACTTTGTGCTTCTGCACTGCAACAGAGGTATGTGATCTGTGCAACGATGGGGTCATAGAGAGGCAGGAAAGGCTGCTCTGAGGAAGTGTCACCAAACTGATCAAAGCATAAGCTGACGGAGTAAGAAGCATTTTCTCAAGCCTATCAGCTCTTTGCTTTTCACAACTCCAGCCTGAAACATCCCAAAAGCTTGGGCTCTGCTCAGCTCTGCCTCCTAAAAATCTTTTCTGACAACATTATAGTCACTGATCATCCCTCCGGTGCCTTCACCACCACCATGCACTGTCACCCAATGTCCAACCCCTTAGTGTAAGATACAGGTGGCCAGGATTATCTCCACTGGACAACAAGCTCCCAGAGCTTGAACTTGTGTACCACCTCGACCAGCACCTAAAAAAGTACTAGGTGTGACTCAGGGTTGTCCACAGAAGCAGAATCAATAAGAGACACACACGTACATGTGTGTCAATAGATGGATGGATGGTTGAATGATAGATAGATAGATAGATAGATAGAGGAGGGGAAGAGAGAAGAGGAAAAGGGAAGAGAGAGGAGGGGAGGAAAAGAGATGATTATTTTAAGGAATAGGCTCACACAATCATAGGGGCTCAGAAGCCCAAATTCTGGGGGGCAGGTGGCAGTATGAAGACCCCAAGAAATAGCTAGTTTTGCATCTTAAGCCCCAAGGCAGTTTTCAGGCAGGATTCTCTCTCCTCAGAGAATCCTAGGCTCTTTTTTCTTAAGATTTTCAATAGTTGGATGAAGCCTAGCAAAAATATGGGGATCAGCTGCTCTACTCAGAGCCTACTGCCCTAAACATTCATCTCCTCCACAATCAAAACCAAAACCAAAATCTCACACTCACATGTACACTGGTGTTTAACCACAGCTTCGCCTATTGAACACATAAAATTAACCATCACGTCAAGTGAAAACAGGTGCTTGGTAAATGCTTGAAGAACAATTTAATAAAATCTCATTGATGGGGGCTGGAAGTTTAGCTCAGCGGCATAAGCGCCTGCCTTCCAAGCAGGCAGTCATGAGTTCGATCCCCAGTACTGATAAAAAGGAAAAAGACAAACAAACAAAAAAATGTCATTTATCTTCTCCTTTCTCTTCCTTTTTTCCTCTTTTTTTCTGATTCTCTTTTAATGTCTTTCCTTTTTCCCCTCACTGTTTTTGCTACTTTATTTTCTTCACGTGTGTCTTTCTTCTCACGCTTTTATGCAGGTGGGAGGGGAGGGCGTGAGGACGGTGGGGACCTCAGCTGAGGAAATAAACGAGGAATGAGGTGGAGGAGAAGGGCCCGCTGGCGGTGGCATCAACCCTGCACAGCACGACCATGAAAGGAAACTTTAAGGAGAAAAAAGTCTTCAAAGTCAAACTATTTGAATGGAAAGCCAGACTCAGTACCCATGACTCCTGGTAAGCTGTACTCTCTGCTCTCTCTGTGTCCAGCCCTCGAAGAGTTCCAGGTCAAGAAGCCACAAAAGATGCCTTTCAGAACAGATTCGAACTGCACTGTGCTCATCAGAGGAGCATGAGTTCCACAGGATTCCAGCCTGACTCACAAAGGCATACTAGAGCTCGCTTGTACTGGAAGTTAAAGGACTCAGGTGGGAACCAAGTGTCTAGCAGCAGAGTCCAGGTACCCAGCCTTGGAGGACCGGAGTGTCCCACGCTGAGCTATGTCTCTGGTGCAAAGGGGTGGAGGGCTAAGCTCCAGTTCGTAAGACTATCTTTCCTGCCAGTTTCTTAATAAAGGCCACCTAGCCTTTACCCTGTTGCCCTCCTTTTCAGTATATAATTACCGAGTTCTTTCTCCACTCCAGACACTGTGCCAAATGCTAGCGATACAAGCCAAAGTTCAATGCTTGGAGCACTCCCATGCCAGGGAAGGACACAGCTGCATGGCAGAGCAAAGTGTGACAGACTCCGTGCAGGACACCCCTGCCCTCAGCTAGACTCACAAATGAGCACCAGTGAACCCTTTGGACATGTTGACTTTCTATCCACAAAGACCTTCCTCTGACCTTTCACTTGATACATGAAAATCTGAAGTCAGAGAAGCTGGTGTCCTGCCAAGACACAGCCAAGTCTTCAAACAGCGAGTCCTAGGCTGAATTCAGCTTCCTTTATTTTTTTTTTTTCATTTTGATTAGTACATATCTGTAGTACATAATGATTATATCCATTGTGGGGACCTGGCACCTGTACATATTTTAATTCTTTTTACCTCCGCTCCTCTCCCTTCTGTCTGTTGTTCCTAGTCCCATTTGCAAAAGCTCACTTTCCATTCCTATTATCCCTCTTTTATTTTGCTCTTTACTTATATCCTAGGATTTTCATATATGAGAACCCGTATGACTTTAAACCTGTGTGTCCTTTCTTTCCTCTTATTATAGATTCAGTGTGCATGCATTTTTCTAACACTGACTCGAATGTATCCTGAGCAGTACCCCACTGTGTATAAAGACTGTATTTTCTTTATACCTTCATCTGTTCTTGTATATTTAGACCACTTCCACAGTTTAGCTAGTATGAACATGAATATGCACATGTTACTGTAATACAATATCTTTAACTCTTTTGGCAAGATACCTAGGAGAGGAATGCCTCAGTGAATGGAACTCTTGTTTTAAATTTTGAGGAGTCCCCATGCTGCTTCACATAGTGGTAGTACTAGCCTACACCCCCACCACCAGGGCTGTTTTTTCCTTGCAGCCTTGCCAGCATTTGTAACTATTTGATTTCTTGATAATAAGAAAATCATGGTACTTGCACAAAAACAGAATGTGAACCAGCGGGATTAAACAGAGGATGCAAAAATGACCTTAGGCGCTTCTACCATCTGATCTTTGACAAAGGGGCCAAACACGTAGGCTGGAGGAGGGACAACCTCTTTAGCAGATGGTGCTAGGAAAATTGACTATTGAGGTACAGAAGATTAGATCTGGACCCGTACACTTACCATATAGTAAACTAAAATCAAATGGCTTAAAGATCGAAATATCAAAATAGAAACATTTAACCCCCTGGATGATAAAGTAAGTAAAACTCTTGAAGCCATAAATACATATAAAAACTTTCTGAACAAAGTCCCAAATTGCACAAGAAATAACATCAAATGCCAACAAATTGGATCACATCAAATTGCAGCAAAAGAAACAATCAACAGAACGAACAGACAACTTACAGAATGAGAAAAAAGTTAGCCGCTACTAATATCTAGAATTTACAAAGTATTTTAAAAATTAGATTTCCCAGAATAAAAGATCCAATTTAAAAATTAGAAACTGAAATGAATAAATATGTCTCAGAAAAAGTACAAATGACTGATGAATACGTGAAAAAAATGTTCATCATCGGAGAAACGCAAATTAAAACAATACTGAGGTTCCATCTTACCCAGGAAAGAATTCCAATCACCAAGAAATCTGGATTTGATCTCTTTAAAACCAACTTCTCAACTGGTCAGTCCCTTTCTTAAAATTTACTGACAGCACAGTGAGTGTACTGTATCACTGAGCTATATACCCAGTCGCATAATTAACTTTGTAAGATCCTAAAAATAAATTAATCTGGGACCAGAAAAGTAAAAGAGAGATGGGGGAGATGAGGGAAACTAAAATGTATGTTTATCAGTTCCCTACAGTGAATGTAATCGTTAGGTACTGCAAACATGTACTAATAAAAGTGAAAAAAAGTTTAATACTTTTAACCACTAGAGGGCACCAATTCACCTTCGATAGCTCCAAATCTGCCTGGTCTCCAGAAAGCCTCAGCACTGTGTCACTCTACCAGCCAGATCTATGATAATACTAATACCTTTTATATTGTCTCAAAATGAGCCTTGCAATCAGTAGACTTTAAATCAGTTGCACAGATCGTATTTTTTTACGTTTATTTTTTTGGTACTGGGGATTGAACTCATGACCTCATGCTTGCCAGTCAGGGACTTATACCGCTGAGCTAAATCCCCAGCCAGATTGTGTTTTTGAGCCAAAAATAAGTTAAGAAATGAGGGAGTTGAACCGTCCTAATATAAATAAAAGAGGCCAAAGACTACCATATTTATAAACATTAGAACCAGAAATAACGGATTTTAAAGCTTTTGTCCAATATTGTGTCTACCTGCAAACATTTAATATCAACACACAATCACAACAAAACCTCAATCAGCCCATGTTGATAAATCACTGTGTAGAGTTGACATCGAGGAAATACAGGACCATGAACCTGTGCGTCAGAACCACCTGAGGGTTTTCCCTTTTCTTCATATAGATAGATGATAGGTGGATAGATAGATAGATAGATAGATAGATAGATGATAGATGGATAAACAGACAGAATGATAGGGTGATCAT